GGGGGTGGTGGAGTTCCCAGAAGTCCCTGATAGAACAGCAGTGCTCCAAAATAAAACAAAAAAAAAAACAATGGAGAAAAGAAATTATCTTGCCTGAGTTACATTATCCATTTAAATAATTCATTTTAATTCTGTGTCACTTAGGGCCATCCATTTCCTTAAATACTTGAATTTCAATTCAGACAAAAGAAATATCCCTGAAGTTCTTCAGTTTGAAGCAGCACAGGAGAGGGGTTTGTCACCAATAAAGGGAACCACTGAGTATCAGATGTGTTAATGTGATGGCACTTCCCAGTTCTTACATTAGTGAGTGAACCCATTTCTTACCCAAAACATCTCTTTTCTCATACCCAGCCAGGATCAGAGCAATGGGATTTTCCCTCAGTTCACTCAAACCTTTTGAAGTGGGGAAAGAACAACAACAACAAAGCAAAGAAACTGGAAATAAATCCCTGGAAACTCCAGTCTGTGCTGGAAGGGCTGATTTGGGTTGGATTGTGCGTGTGATGAACGTGAGAACATCATCACTGTGTGGATTATTGATGCCACTTTATTGGTGTACACTGATGAAACCCCACAGAGCAGCATCTGAGAGCACTTTAAAAAACCAGCAAGGTGGGCTGATGTCACCAGATCTGTTAAAACCAGGCTTCTGGTTGGGGCAAGAGAAAATAAACCTGCTTTGGTTCAGGCAAGAGATCAGAAGTTTGAACTCTGAGATTCTTCTAGAACATATCCCTGTGTAACTAAGAATAAACATCCACCTCCACTAGGATCTGATGAAACAATATCTACTAAATAAATAATAAATATTCAGGAGCCAACTTTCCTTTTTTTTTTTTTTTTTGAAAGAGAGGGAGTAAGACCTTTTTCTTTTACAAAATACTTGGTCTTGACATTTTTATTTTGTTTTGCACAGGCAACTCAACTTCAGTTCTGATCCTGAAGGATCCAGCCAAGGTTGTCACCTGGAACAGCACAAATTTCACAAGCCATGGACTCGAGTGTGCCTCTATAAGCAGAAATATGAAAGATGTAGCCACAAATGTCTCACAAAAAACATGTAATCCAGCTACACACTGCAATTAAAATTACCCCAGGAAAACAGGGCTGAGTGCCCTGTTAATAAAGATTCATCCAACAGTCAAAGAGACAATTTGACTGAGTGTAAATGAGAAAGTAAAATGACAATTTCCCCCAGACTGCTGAGAATTTTCCAGCCATTTAACTGCCTTCAAAGCCATACAAACCACACAACAGGAATGGGAGTCTGGGCAGCGAAGCGAGAGCAGCAGCAGCACAAAGTAAACAGGGCTAATGGAGTTATTTTTATCTCCAAGGAAAACAGCTCCCCTGCTCCCAGCTGGAGGCAACACAGACCAGGGGCACACACAGCCACTTCCCCAAGGAGAGCCAGGCAGCACAGCTCCTCGCTGCTGAGGGCTTTGGGAGACACAGAGTCCAGCCCCCCTTTCAGGGCTGCCCACACTGGTTTCTGCACCCCAACACCTCCCCCTCGCTGGGTGCTGAAGCACCTGGGCTTCAGGAATGGAATCACAGGAAACACGGTTGGAAACAACCTCTAAGATCAAGCCCAACCATCATCCCACCACTAAACTGTGCCCCCCAGTGCCACATCCACGTGTTTTTTGAATCCCCCTGGATCTGGAGCGATTGCAGAGCTCTCCCTGGCTCCGCTGGGCAGGTCAGGCAGTGCTGCAGCAGGGGCAGCCCCACCTAGATGTGCTCGATGGCACAGGCTCGGACGCTGTTGGTGGAGAGGCACTTCAGAGTCTTGAGCTTGGCCCCCAGGGTTTTGAGCTTGAGGGTGTAGATGAGGGGGTTGCCCAGGCAGTTGATGGTGATCAGCATGGCCGTGCAGTTCCTGAAGATGTAGACGCCCGGGTAGAGGTCGATGTGGCACCGGTGGTTGGTGGCATCAAAAATGACCCCGGCGAAGAACGGGGCGTAGGAGATCAGCGCCAGCAGCCAGATGAAGATGCTGGTCCTGGCCACCTGGGTCTCAGCCGATTTGTAGGTGCCGGTGGCTTGCCCGCACGCCTTCATCCTCAGCTTCCTCCTCCTCAGGATGATGATGATTCTGAGGTAGGTGAACAGAGGTATGATAAAGGCCACCACGAAGTTGGGGACGGCGATGAAGAAGAGGTAGTTGACGCAGAAGGGGCTGTAGAGGACCGAGACGCTCTTTTCCCTGTGCAGGCAGTTCCAGCCCATCAGTGGCAAGCAGCCCAGAAAGAAAGCAAGGACCCAGTTGGTGAAAACCACGGCTATGGAATGGTTTCTGGCAACCCTGAATCTCGTCCTCATGCTCTTGGCCACAGCCAGGTAGCGCTCGACCCCGATGCTCACCAGGTTGTAGATGGTGGATAAAATGGACGTCGTGTACAAGGCGTAAGGGGCGAGCATGTCCTCGGACCCAAAGATGGTGATGTCGGGGTTGGTGATGAACAGCGTGGAAATCCAAAAGCCAGAGAAGCTGGTGAAGAGATCAGAAACAGCCAAATTGCAGAAGAGGATGGAGATGGGCTTGTGCAGGTCCTTGGTGGCCAGGCGGGTGAGGATGACGGTGCAGTTGAAGAGCACGGACGCCACGTTGATGGTCAGCTGGGGGATGGCCAGGGCAAGCACCAAAGAATGACTCCAGATGTCTGTGTAGTTAGCAGAGCAGTTTGGAAATCCATTCATGGTGGAAAATCCTCCTTTCAGCCCTCAGCCAGGTCGGCTTCACTCATCCCATACTCCGTGAGAGACCACACCACACGAGAGCTGCTGCCACCTTGTTCCCCAGGTGGGGAGTGGACCCTGAGGCGCAGCTTCTACTGCCACATCATCATCATCATGACAGTGGATTAAACTTTAACCACATGTGGTATTAAATATTTGGGTTACCACCTCAGGGCATCGCCAATTACCGTTCAGTTGCTAGGACAGCCCAAACTGGAAAACATATTTGTTGCTACATGGATGAGCTGCTGAAAACAACCTCTGCCAGCAGTGAAATCTGGCCAGATCTTGAGAGGATGAATGATCACAGCAGTAGTTTAAAATTCTTTAAGGATAGTCTAAAATGGAATTAATGTGAATTCAGCTTTAACTCACCAATAAATTAGATGATAAAGGATTAGAGAGTCAGGAAACAGAGAGCAGAATTTTGTGGGTTTGGAGGGGGGAGTGTGTGGCTGATGGAGCTGAAATAAGAACATCAGTGTTGGGTCACCAACCTGGCCCTCAGCTCCTGCCTAAGCAGTTAGGAAAATGCCTTTTTTTCCACCTTAATTCCTGGATGAGGATGTAGCTAAACAACAGCAGACATCACTACTCATGCTCATTACAGGATATTTTGTGTTTATTTAATGTGTGACTTGCACATTAATAAACCAACATCAATAGCATTATATCTTTTCTTTCTCTATCTTTGTAAAGGCAAATGATTTTTGAGAACTGGATTTAAAATACTTGAGCCTTGGAGAAAAAAAGCCTTTGGGACACACATTCCATGCTCTCAGCAGAGGGCACTGCTGGAACAAAATACAAGGTTCAGTGGGAACAGGGAGATTTTAACCAGCAGAGCAGTTCAGGTGAGCAGTACAATTGCCCAGGTAAAGCCATGTTATGTCCGAATTTATTCTGATTTAACTCATTTCTCACTGTCATCCTAACAAAAGATTAATTTCCATGAGTAACAATTTTATACTGTGATACTGCCAAGCAGCTCAGCTGAGTTCACGGGCTTTCCACACTCAGCACTGACATCTGATCATTGCAGCAGCAATTCCAGCTCTAGAGCAGGAAATCTGTGAGCTCTGATAGCTCTGCCAAATTTAAAACATCAGAAATTCAGGCTAAAATGTGGAGCTTGAAAAGGAAAATTCTAGGGCTCCTTTTCTCCTATTGAAATGTATGAAAGTGTATTCAGGTTAGTGTGCAATTAGTACACAATAAATATGTACTAGAAATACTTTAAGTATTTCAGGTGGTCACATAGAAATGCAAAGAATGATTATATAGAAATAAAGGGCTGCAAAATGACGGATCAAGCCTGTGGATGTCTTAACATCCTATAAAATATTCTTCTCCCAGTGTCCCAGATAAACCATCCTTTGTGCATCCTGGAACCCTCCCTGTCAGCCACACCTCTGGTGTGAGGTTGCTGCTGAACAAGGGCTCCACTATTTCTGTCACCTCATCAGTGCCAGCACCTCGAGTCAGCAAATCCTTTCAATGATCTGAAATGCTGCAGATATTCCTGAAAATGCTACTTGAAATCGCTCTAATTTGAAAATTTGGCGTTCGAGCACTAAGCACTAAACGAAATGAGATCGGAATGTAATTAAAATAATATCAAGTAGTACAAACAGCTCTTCACAAAAGCTTTGTAATCTTATTTCCCTAATAGAATTACATAAAAATTAGCATAATGTTGCTAGATTAAGGGAGACAATATTAGTGTGGAAACTGCTTTTTTTAGTGGGCTTTAACATACAGAAACCACCAGGTTTGTGCATTCCAACCCTCTGGGATACAGCTGGAGCTCTCAAAACCAGATGAAAACTACTTTGAATTGAAAACTCAGAGACAGAGCTGCTACACATCCAAACCTCTGCACATCACAACCTCAGTCCAAGGCATTTTTCTACTCCCATATTCCAGGAACTGTGTGACCTTCCTGGTACTTACCTCACTCTACATCTTCGAGGAAAGTGTGTTATCTACATCCCATAAACGGGAAAGAGCAATCACATTATTTGTTTAAGATCCCTCAGAAGTCCAGAGAACCCAATCTAATCTCCAATTGTTCAGGTTGACACCTCAAACACTGGCTGTACCATGCTGTTGGCAGCCTTTGATTTATAACTATCTAGACCTCGCCTTCTACAACATTTTTTAGTTCTAGAATTGTTTTTCTTTTAGTTCTATGATTGGTTTTATATTTTTATATCTGTCTGAATTGGTGTTATTTTGATACACGTCATGTGTTAAGAAATGGCCTTATTTTGTAGAGAATCTCCAAGTTCAATAATAATTACCTGATGATTGTGCCTGTGGAGAAGAAAATAATCACTGAACATGTTGAAGAGATGGAGAAGGAGACATGAGAAGCTTCAGGTGGAAGTTTTAATGATGATTCAAGTGGCTGTTGTGGGAAATGCATCTTTGCCCCCCTCAGCTCAGTCTCAGAACTGCTCACAACTGCAGCTCTCAGGGATTCTCAAGGGCTCAGGACAACAGGCCAGCTGGGACATTCCCAAGTTGATCTTAAAACAGGAAATTTGGTCCAGGAGCCGAGTCCCAGCTCTGCTCAGTAACCCTTGGACAACAGACACACTTATCTTGGTGTGATGCAGAGCAACCTTTGTGCTGAGAGCACTCTGAGGAACTGAGTTATGCCTGAAAACTACAGGAGAAAAAGCTGCATCCACGTCATGAAAACAAGAATCCCACAGCACAGGGAGTAGAAGGTGAGCTGCACGTGGTTTGGTGTCACCTGCAAGGTCATGGACACACATTATACACACAGGAAAAACCAGGCACTGGGAGGATGAGGGATTCCACTGTCCTGGTTTCTTCCCTGTCACATTCTCCCTGAGCTCACAGTCAATTCCTACTCGTTCCTGACACTCCAGCTCTGCACTTTCACAACAGATAATACCTTACCTGAGCCAAAAAATGGCCAGTGCCACCCAGGTCAGCTGAGCATGGAGGCAGAGTCACTCCATGGGTCCAGGGTTCACTTCCATGACCTTCAGTGAGAGCAGAACATCCACCTGCTCACTCTCTCAGTGGCCATCACGGGGCCTGCGAAGAAGAAACAGTCATGAAGGACAGTAATACAAATAAGGAGCCTATTTATCCAGTTTATGTTTTAATTTATGCAGATTAAAGTCTTCCTTTCTGGAGAGGAAGGCACAAATGGGATGTATGATCTCCTTCCAAGATTTTTCTGGGATGTTTTGAAAACAGAGAGCTCTGCTCCTCCTCCACCCTCTCTCTTTGAGGAGTTTTTGCCTCACAGGTTTGGAGTTATCCAACGTCCCAGCGCTTTTTCCACAGCCCTACCAGGCACATGAAGTGAAGAAGATAATCATCAGGCTTGAAGTCTCTGAGTGCTGTTCAGCAGCATGTTACCAACAAGCCACAAAATATTGGCAAGGTAGGTTTGTTGTGAGGATATTCCCCAAACCAGACCCTCTTCCCCTTTATCCAGAGCCAGAACTGGTATTTTCACCTTTTGAGAACTTGCATTGTCCTGTCTAAAAGGAAACAAACAGGAATAAATACCTAAACCCAGGTGTATGGCAAGCAAAGCCTTCCACTGATAATTTAGATGTGAAGAAGCCAGAAAACATCTTATCCCTGCTCCTGAGTATTCCATGGAAACGACCCTGTGCTTGTTCCCAACGGAGCAGACTCGGGGAGGATCAGAGCCAGCCCACATTCCTCTGGAAGATGAAGGCCCAACGACTGTGATTCACCAAGAGCTGTGAAATTCCAGATTTCCTGTTCAGTGGTGTGGGAACTGTAACGAATAAAATGGCAGCACACAAGTAACTAAAGAGCACTGAGCGTGTTTTCTCACACACAGGGTGGGGTTCCCAGTCACAAAACTCATCTGGGTTTGAAGTCTCTTGGAAGTGCTTCCCTCTCCCATCGCAGGGGCGATTCCTCCTGGGTCATTTGTGACCAGGATTTGGCCCTGGGCCAGTCTGACCCTCACAACCCTTAGATTTTCCTTCTCTAAGAGCAACAGCTCAGCCTCCAGCCCGAAGAGCTGAGCCACAGCCTGGGCTTTGGGTCTCTGATGCCTTTTTGGCACGGATTCAGCCCCAGCCAGCCCTCATCCCTTCTGCTGGGACATGGGATGCAACCCCTCAGCTGGAGGGCTGGGGACAGCTCTGGCCTCCCTCCCCTCAGCACTTGGTGGGATCCTGTGGCTCAGACTTGTGAAAGCCTCACGAACCACCACATCCCCCCCAAACTTCCCTTGGGAGCAGCAGGATAACGTCAGACCTCACACGTTCCAGAAACCAGGCTGGGGGAACATCCCCAAAACCTTTGTTGCTGTGGCTCTCAAGGCAACAAAATAAATGCAGTTTTCACTGGTTTTGGTGTTCCCACCTCCCCTGTAGCTATGGACACAACTGCAATAATTCTGCCAGGAAAAACCAGCCTGGAGTTCAGTGATCTGCTGTCACCTCCCTGCTTAACCTTGAGTCTCACCTTCTCTGACCAAGATCCTCACACGTCTTTAGGTTCAATGTCCAAAACCAACTCACAGAGTAATTCCTTTCGAAATTATCCCAAGGTGCAGCACTGCCATGGAGAACTGATAACCAAGTACCTGCCAGGTGAGCTTCTTTAGAAAAAAATAAGGACATCACACGATGTCTGCCCTGCTTCTTTAATTTACAGGCTTCATAAGGAGAGGGAATGTCTTTCCCTGAGCGTGCCTTCACTTCCTAGAACAAATAAAGGCTTAATTGATATGACTGCAGTGCAATTTATTGTCACTTTAATAGTGATAGGCTGAAAGGCTTGGGGGGGGGGAGGAAAAAAAAAGGGAAAAAAAAAAGGAAAAAAAACAAAGAAAAAAAACAAACCAAGAATC